ATTACTCGGAGAGAAAAATACATCCCTGCCAGCAGCAAGGAGGCATCCTGGCAGGAGACTTGTATGGATAAGGACGCCTTTGGGCCTTTTCCCCCACTGTCTTTTCAAGGAGATCTTAACGTCCCTAAGTATGCTTGCTTCATCTGTAGAGGAGTCTTATATTTGGTTCTCGTTGGCACTGCATATCTTAACCGCAGCAGCTGGATATAGCTTAATTCGTACGCATATCAATTTAATACGGGGTTTCCATGCAATCTTTTTTTTTTTTATCCTGGGCTCAAACCATCAAAAACACCAAACACATGACCGCTCTTATGCTGAGTGGCATTTTACCACTTGTACTGCAGGAATTTATGCTGTAGGTGCTGGCATCTTACCTACACAGACATCTGCTTTCAATTATGCAATTTTTTTAAAATGATTTTTTATCTATATACCTTTGAGTTTTCAAGCCAAAGTCGAATGAGCATTGTGACAGCACTCGTTTATGTCGTCGGCCCAAGATCCAGGGGTGGAAATTCGACATTCCTATGGTCGGCACCAGTCTAATCATAGAATGACTCCTGTGGATGTCTCACCAAGTGGTATTCATTTTATCGGCCTTGGAGGGCCCATGGGCCAAATCAACCCCTGACTGGGATGTACCTTCCAAGTGTGAGCCAAGAGCTCAGCTAACACCTCCACACTGTGACTTCTTACTTACTTACAGCCTTCATTACGTAGATTCGTGAGAGATTTGAATCAACACGTTCGGTTGAGTGTGGAATCAGGTGCTGCTAAAGCCATGAACAAATATACACCACAATGTTGGTTATTATTGTTTCACATCCTTTATGATTCCTCAAGGAAAAGTATTTATTGTGCATAATTATACCCATTACTGTGGTTCTCCTCTGTAATGTCTCATCATTGTTTATAAACATGTGTTGCTTCTGTCTGTGTGGCATTCGAATCCTGCCTGGTCATTAATTAGGACAGTTGCTAAATATAATTTTTCCATACCGTGGCTGTTGAAGACCTTGTTACATATTTGTAAGACGAGACGATTGTATTCCGAAGATTACGATTAAACATTTAAAATGAGTGTACTACATTTTAAAATTGAGATACATAAACATGTAATAATCCTATGCTCTCAGCACAATAATTGGGATAGAAATTAATGATTTAATTTATTCCTGCATACCTTATTTGATATGTTATTATGGAAAGCTATTATAGTGCTCGGGAAAAATTATAAATGCAAGTCATTTGGGGCATTATGCAAGGAGTTTGACGATAATACGTTTTAGAGGCCTATTATATTTTCATGTGCTCGCTGTTAACTGAAATATTCAATGGTAGCAGAAGGAAGCATTTTTTTCCACCGGAAAATCAAAACGTAAAAAACGTTGCCAGTTCATCTCCCGGTTGAGTTTGCCAACTTAACCCATCAACCCTATGCAGTTGCTAAAACAAACACCGCTTTGTGGGAAGCGTACAAGACGGCGAGATTGCTGCTCTCCTGTGCCACGAGGTGCGGATTCACCACCAGCCACAGAACTTGATTCACCTTCCAGCCACAGAACTTGATTCACCTTCCAGCCACAGAACTTGATTCACCTTCCAGCCACAGAACTTGATTCACCTTCCAGCCACAGAACTTGATTCACCACCAGCCACAAGATGTATGCTCACCTGTGCCACGAGGTGCGGATTCACCACCAGCCCGCACGACTTGCCGTCCACGATGCTCGAACCCGACAAAGAAATCGACGTCGTTAAGGCTGACGTCGTTGAAGCTGATCCCCGACGCTGGCACGAACACACGTCGCTTCACCCTTTCCGCTCCCCGCACGCGGAATCGATTTCCAGCAGATTTTTCACAACGAGCGAGCGGTCCCACGCGCTCTGCTCAAGGCAGTTGCAGAAATATCCGTGCGGTAGAGCACTCGGGCGACGCTCGGACTTTGCCCCGGCGCACTCTCTGGCATGCGTTGACGACCCGCTGCAATGAATCCTGCGCGCCTTATAATAAATCGGACACGTTTTTATTTATTATCGCGAACAGCGGTTGTCTCGTGGAGAGGGCTGCTTCTTGAATCGGAGTATTTACTTGCACTGGAGGAATCCGATGAAGCTCTAAAGCTCTTTTTTCACAGTTGTCCAGTGGTAAGAACGTTACGACGACAAATGGTACAAAAAACATGATCGTAATGCAGAGTATAAGAAAGGTAAACGCATCACCACTGGGTCTGGGCCACGAGCCAGTCGAGATGAGGACACTCGTTCACGATCACTCGAGCACAGCGACGCTCTTGAAGGGTGGCTTGAATGTGTCGCTTTGAACGTCATAAAGTGAGAAATGTGTACATTTTAACACCGAAGCTTTCGCAACCAATATTATTCATGAAACTTTTTGGGGGGGGGGGGAGGGGTTAGATAACTGTGCGTCAGCTTTTGTGCAGGAAATCGGGGTGCGATTAGTTGTTTTCAGGCCCTCTGTGTAATTAATATAACATGTGAGATGTTATAAATATACACTATATATCAACTTTCATGGGTCTTCCATGCCTCTGATGTGGAAAGCATATGGCACTTTGTAATGCATACTTTAACATCAGTAACTGCTATGATGTCCGCTTAACTTTACACCGCATACTCTGACATCAAAATGTAATTGTTCGTTGTGTCCGTACATGCAGAGCTTCCTTGACCTATTTGGTATGCAGTGCTGGCTATTTTATGACATTATTGCATGCTCTACGGAGTGACCAGCCTCTGCCAGGGGAATGTGGAATTCACCCCTCTGACTCAGGGCCACTGATGGAGATGAGTGCCTCCCATTGGCTCTGAGCTTGGAGACATTTTGAGAGGAATGATTTGAGGTTCCTTTGCATCACCTCACGAGGGCTGTGTATTATGTTTACCTATACCTCACGCTTGAGAAACGTCTTATCTTCTCCAGGCCAAGAAATAAGTACGTGAATAAAAATAGCCAAATAGAATGCTTTTCATACATGCTTGGCTTGAATTCAAGCGGCGTCTCTGACAGCGCATGATAAAAATTTACAGCCAAAGGGTGCTATTATATTGGCTCCTGCAGTGCTGTCTGAAACGCTTTGTCCAACTGCTGCTGTTTGTCATTTACAACCAGGCCCTCCGAGTATTGCAGAGAGAGAGAGATGCTGCCGCTGGCAGGATTGAGGACATTACCTGAGCAGTGTTACATTAACACGAGTAGCAGAGGGCAGCGGTCGAGTTTGCACGCACAATGTGTGCGCTCGTTAAAGGGAGCTCCGCGTTCTTAAATTTTTTTGCTGGGCGGGGTGCTTTGTTGCATCACAGGACCGTGAAAGGATGGCGATGGCTTGGGAGGCTTTCATCCAGCAGTGGATTGATCATGGCTGATGATGATGATGATGAGAATACCGCATGAAATAAAATGCTGCCACTGCCATTAAATTGTTGACCTTGCAGTTTTATGGTTATGAATTCAATACCAGCAATAGATTGACTCAACCCATCATCCTTAACGAGTCCTTAGAATTGGTACCAATCAGGTCTGATCCTTTGTCGAGACTGAAGGCCTGTATGGAATTTTGAAATGTCCCACTCCTCTCAACGTGGGTGAGCACTGACCCATGTTCATTTGAACGGACGGGTTCCTTTGCATTACTATTTTAATGCAACAATGAATCCAGCACCTGTACATGAACTGATTTCATCACTCCATCTCCAAGGCGGAATTCTCTCGGGTGCTTTACATTCCTTGGCTGCCACCCTTGACCATCATCAATGCTCTAGTGATGTATTCCTGCCCAAACCAACTTATTTTTCTTAAATGGTGTGGATGATGGCATTAACCCGTGTATTGTCATTCATTATTCATTAAACACACCTCCAATTAGCACGGTTGGCTATGTATGGTGCGAAAAAGTTATAAATACATACATTCATACTACATAGAACAATAATGCCGATTAGTTTTCAACAATCGTTTTTACAAACATGAATGTTGGACGCACCATATGGGTCAGTGAGGTCGGTGTGTGGACAGAATGCTTTCCCTGGAGCCTTGGCACTGACAGAAGGGAAACAATGATGAATAGGCAATTTAGTTGCACAGCGCGAGAAAATCACATCACGATTAATTGGAAAACATTCTGCCAAGCAAAAAGTAGGGACAAATGTAATCGCGAACCGTGATGGGGATGGCTGTGTAATAAATAGCGGAGAAGGGAGGCAGGGGTGCATGGGTTGGATGGATATTGCATTATTTTTAAATGGTGTTTCCACGAAAAGAATAAGGATGGCGGGGAAGTTTGTTAATAATCATGAGGACATCACAGTGTAGAAATAAATGGCGAACATATCCAAAAACCCAATGGAACCGTTATAGATCCATCGTCTATGATCATTGGACCAGGATAAAAAGTTCACAGCCATTCTGTACGCAAACTAAATCGTGGTTTCGGATTCATTTCCTTACTTTTAATCCTATTTTATTTCACCATTCTGTTGTGGAAAGCTTCTGTGGCAATGTCTCGCGTGCAGTGCTGCCACACAATGTAGTTAGAGCACACTGTCACGTAATGCTGCTGCACCAAACCACAATGTTAGTGCACATCACCGTGGCAGTACGATACACAAATACCCGACCGTGGCAAAGAACATTGTGCTCTTGAAAGATGGGGTGTGATTGTGCGGAGGGGAATAACGGAGTAGGCAAAGTACTACACTGCCAACGAACAGCGGTTGATTTCTGGCCATGTGCATTTACAAAGTAAAATTGGTATCTGAACAAGGCTTGGTGCTCCTGTTAAGTCAGCTCAACCTTGTATAAGTTCCTGGTTTGGGGTGATCGGTATCGGCACTGGGAATTGGCTGGATGCGATGGCCCCACTTGGCCGCCTCGCATTTCACGACGGTCTCAATATGTGCTCACGTACAAACCTTGCTCTAGCAGCGGTCTCTGACTAAAGTGGTGGATCTTTGTGTGCTATGTGTGCGATCGACAGACGGTCCTCGGCCCACCCAGAAGGAGGTGGTGTCCCTCCGAGCCTTCATGCTGCTGTTCCTGAAGCAACTCATTCTCAAGGTAAGTGTAGCCCGCAATCCATTGGAGAACCCTCTTCTTCCCGTGAAACAGCTGAGCCAAATTATGTGTGCAAAGCAGCGTATCCAGAATCCAATGACGTTAAATCTAAAGTAGGCAGAAATCTATATATCCACTTCTAGATTTGAAGCTTTCGTGACTGCAAGGATTCATACTCTTTGGTTTTTTCGGTAAAGTCACATAGGTAAATAAAATAAAACAACTAAATTAAATCACGACGTTTCGGCGGCAACACAAGCTTCCGTCTTCAGGTGGAACAGTCACAGCAGAATAGCTGTACCAAGTGGTGCATGGGTTTGATGGATATTGCATCATTTTTCAATGGCGTTTCCACGAAATGAATAAAGATGATGTTGAAACGCCAGGTGGAACAGTTACAGCAGAACAGCTGTACCACTTGGTATACCTGAAGACGGAAGCTTGCGTTGCCTCTGAAACGTCGTGATTTAATTTAGTCGTTTTATTTTATTTTACCTACGTGACTTTACTGAAAAAAACAACGAGTATACATATATCCACTGTTAAGCCTCAGAGCCTGATCTTGTCCAGTCTCAAGCACTAAGTGCAAGAAAATCCTGGTTGGTTAATGCAACGTGGCGGGAAATACAAATGGATATCTGATGGTTGGTATAGAAAGTGGTGTGGGTTTTTCAGTTGTGGCCATCATCGTTGCCATCTTCGTTGCACCTATACAAACAACCAAGAAATGTGTCATAAGCTCAGCATCTTACGAACCACAACATTTAATTTTATACGTGTATAATTTGAAATGTTCACATTAAAATGTATTATATCTAAAATTTGGCATACCTAGGTGTTTAAAGTATCATACAAATATTCAGCGACCTTCAATTTATTTATAATGCCACTTGGCAAAAATGATAAGATTGCAAGTTTGAATTTGACAATGTTTTGGCTCATCCTAAAATCCATATAGGGCACATAAAATTAGTACTATTTTGTGGGAAGTCTACTATTACTATTTGCTAGTATTAAATTTTTTACCAGGTAAGGCCCACTGAGCTATATAGCTCTTTTTCAGAAGCGACCTGGCCACAAATAACGAAGTGGCTTATCGTGTATAATTTATAGCAGCCAAATACTCTAAACGCACGATTCTAAAATGTGGAGTGAAAAGCCAAATATACAGCAGGCATCAGGGTCGAGATCGAACCCACGACCTCCTGTATACCAGGCGAGGTAGTTAACATCTCACCACCATGGCATCCCCAAACAATGGAATTCTTCTCACCACTGGTTCAGAGCTGTCAACAGAGCTCAGCACCGTTCATCGCACATTTGTGCAGGGGGACACTTGACATTTGACTTTGTCCATTGTTGTGTGTGGCGATTGTCATCCTGGAATGACACTTCAACGTATCTTGTCACTTACAATGATCCAACGGGATTGATTCTCGTGTTGATTCGCAGGTCTTGCTGTAAAAAAAAATGTTTGACTTTTTGTTGGTTCTCACCTGGTTGTAATCAGAGGGATTGTCTTGGAAAAATATTGCAGATCGAGACTTGGGAAGGCAAAGCAAAATCTTGACTTTCCAAGATAGTTTTTGACAGTTCCAAATACACAACTACCTATTTGCACCCCTCACAATCAGCCCGCGATTGCCCCCTTTGCTGAATAAGATAACCAATTTCCACTGTGGGAGAGCGTGCTAAAAATCGTCCTGTGGCTGATACGGCAAAATTTAAGTGCAATATTTGGAGGCATTTCACGTCTTGAGCCCTGTTCTTGGTGGCCTTTGAGCTCAGGCCCCATTCAATTTGTGCCGAACAAAAAAAAGTGTCAGGCAACGACTCAGGGGTTTGTTTGCAGGGACCGTGTAATGGTCAGCACACAAGGGGACAACGTAATTGAATGCGGATGAACTGCTACAAAATTGATCAATTGCAGGATATCTCATGAGTGTCTTCGAGGCAATGATGAAAACATAAGAGTGCACTGGTTGCAATACAGGTTAAATTGAAAGGTACAGTAGGTAAAGCAATAAAACAAAGTGCGGGCGTCTTACTGAGCAACACACATTCAAGGTGTGTGTACATCACAAGCGTATTCTGCCGTTTATGGCACAATTGAGGTTGCAGTATACGAGTTTTGTCATGAGATAACTTTCATTCCAAAGCGTCTTTAGTCAACAGCACCTCATATTAGATATGGGTATGGGCCCTTAAGATGACACCATAGAAATTATTCTGAAATCTCTACGATGTAGTTATTTGTGACAACGAGCAGGTGCTTTTGCCTATTCTATCACGTGAATTAATTGGTCACTTGATAAAAGTAAGTTATCAAAGCTTGTATATGCTTATACCAGTGGTGCTAGTTATACACCTCTTTACACTTAAAGAGGTTTTTTTTCAGCAAATCACACTTTTTTTTTAAACCTAACCAAATTCATCTTCAACATTGTCTTATAACAGAGACACACGCGGGAGTAAGTAACCATAATAGGCCTTAACCTTCAGATTTGATAGAGGACAGCATAATGCAGTGCCTCTTAAACACTTGGAAATTTGAAGAGAGCTGTGGTAATAATAACAATTATGATTTGAGTTCATGTTGCATCTAGATTGTGCGCATCTCAAGATGCTGCACAGGGCAAGTGCGTGCACGTATACAACACATTCAAAGTCATAGCTAAAAAACACACAAATTGCGCAGATTGAGCAGTGAGTGGCGAGACAGCGCACTGTTGTCACCTCGACCACTGCAACCTCACGCAGTCGGTGAATTTCACGGTGAGATGTAACGATCGAGGCGACACATATCTCCCATTTACTCAATCAGAGGCAAGAGCTGGAGAGGGAGATGATGTGGAAGGAGATGAAAGGGCAAGGGCGCATCATAATCATGGAGTGATGAGGATGGAAGTGAAAGGCAGTGGACACGAGTCGTCCCGCTCAGGGAATTTTATTGTTCCGCTCAACGCCAACATGAACACTTGGAAAGCACCTTCCCTATTGCTGACGTCCATCTTTTTCTTCCTCGGTGCCCCGAATCTTTGTCTCGCACCTCCTTATAAACGCTCTATTCTTCTCTCCTCTCTCCCGTCAATCTGTATGTTTCTGAATTTTTATGGGGAGCCACGGTGGCTAGGAGATGTTATCTCCTTCACCTGGTATGCAGGAGGGCGTGGGTTCGGTCCCGACCCTAACGCCTGCCTATTCGGAGTCTGCGGTGTCTCCCTCCGTGGTCGTGTGGATTTTTCTCTGGGTCCTCTGGTTTTTCCCACCACATTTAGAAACACGCGCTTAGAGTCTGCGGCTGCTATACGTTTCCACATGATAAGCCGCTTCATTGAGCTATCTTTTGTGGCGAGTTCGCTTCTGAAAAAGAGCTATATAGCTCAGTGAACCTTACCTGGTAAAATAAAAATAAAAATTGTTTAGTTTTTCCCTCAAATCCCCTCGCGCCCTTCTTTAATTATTTCTCTCGGCGTGGTCCCGTGCCCTTTTTGTGACCTCCAGCTTCAAACCTGACGCGTCCTTGCAAGACCTCTACAAGGACTCAAGTGCAGACTTGAGGGAGGACTCAAGTCTGCACTCAGAGAAGGGTAGAGAATCAGCAGCGTGGTTATCTTCTGGGGACATTCTGAACATCTGAGGAGTGCCCTGCCACAGTTTGGATGTCAGATTTTAGGTTTCACCAAGCAGTTTTAGATGCCATTAGTTATTGCGTAGCAAATGAAACCTAAAAGAGTAGAACATATATAGGGAACGTTATTTTAATCCAAACTTACATCTCCCACTCTATATGTACAGTGCAGTGTCAACTTTGCTACATCATCGTGGCTCTGAAAGCCAGGTTTGCAAAATGCATTTGTGCAATGTTGCAGTGTGGCCACTGTTCACAGTCAATGCTTTGGCATGAATACTTCAAACTGGAGCTGCCATCTGAGGATTTATTTAGACATTCCTTACAGGGTAAGTTGTGAACCCAGGGCTTCTGAAGTGCCAGCTGAGTTGGCTGCGATGCATTACATTTAGCCCACAGCTGCCTGGAAAAGTGAGCGCGCCGTTTGATTTTCCTGTGCTGACATGTAGTCTTACCTAAATTGGTGAAATTGGGCCAGGGAGCGATCTTTAGGAGTAAGTAAATGTTTCCTGAACATAATATTAAAAAATACCGACTCTGTACTCTTTATAGATGTTGTTACAATGGGTTTTTTATATATATCGTTATCTTCTTGTTTGGTATTTGTTGATTGTAGCTTCTTGAAATGTAATGACGAATGCACACCATGGTTATTTATTATTTTATTTTTTATATACCACCCCTTCCCCCCCCCCCCCCCTTCCTCTGCATGGGTGATGCTCTGGCTCGTGCACTTTGCCTCATATTCCGGGGGTTGGTACTTTAAATCCCGGTTTGGGGTTACCTTAGCCCATCATCCTTCTGAGGTCGATAAAGTGAGTACAGTAAAGCCTTTTGAATCCATGTACGGTGAGGCTCCTCCCCCCATTAACAAAAAATCAACGGCACGAGCGGCGTGGGTGCACTCATGAAGCTGCTCGCAGGCGGATGCGGCGTCTTGTGGCCACTTTGCGCCACGGTGGCGAGATGTTAACTACCTCGCCTGGTATGCAGGAAGTGTGTAGTGGGTTTGATCCCGACCCTGACACCTGTATATTTGGAGTTTGCATGTTCTTCTCCGTGGCCGCGTGGATTTTTCTCCGGGTCCTCCGGTTTTTCCCTCCACATTTAGAATCGACGTGCGTTGAGAGTATTTGTCTGCAGTATATTTCAACATGATAAGCTGCTTCATTGAGCTGTCATTTTTGGTCAGGTCGCTTCTGACAAAGAGCTGTATAGCTCAGTGGGCCTTACCTGGTAAAATATTAATAGTTTAGTTGGGCATGCGGTGCCCAAGGGCACGTGTCCGTTGAGTGCCCAAGTCTATCACATGGCCTGCTATTGGTGACCTCGCGCCCTCTCGTTTATAAATATTTTTAAGGTTTTAACGAGATATATTTATTTATCATTGCACTCAATTTAATGCGACAATCAATATTCCAAAAACGAGAGAGTGAACCTCAGCATTCTCCCTCTGGTATTTGTTAGAGACTCAATTTAAGCCGTGATGATGTTTGCACTGATGGTAAATTGTAAATATTTACTTAATATTCATTGCATGTTTATGCAGTTTAAGTGTCGAGTGATAATTACATTTAAATAAAACGTTAATTTGCTGAAAATAAATTTCGATTTAAAGCTTTCGTGACTGCAAGGATTCATCTTCTTTGGTTCTTTCGGTAAAGTCACGTAGAATGAGAATAAAATAATAAATTGATAAAATAAAATAACACAATAACATTCTCACGACGTTTCGGCCACGCCACAAGCGGCCTTCATCAGGTGAAGGGACGAGACTGTCTGGAAGACAGCGCTGTTCTCCAGACAGCGCTATCTGTCCTCCGGACTGTCTGTCTGTCCTCTGGACAGCGCTGTCTGGAGGACAGCGCTGTCCTCCAGACAGTTTCGTCCCTTCTCCTGATGAAGGCCGCTTGTGTTGTGGCCGAAACGTCGTGAGAATTTTATTGTGTTATTTTATTTTATCAATTTATTATTTTATTCTCATTCTACGTGACTTTACCGAAAGAACCAAAGAAGTTGCTGAAAATAATTTTCAACATGCCGGAAAACCGATCCCCCCCCCCCCCCGCCATTATTAATTTATGACGACCTTGTGAGTGGTCGTCACAGGTTACGCTTGACTAGAGGCTCGCGCTAGCCAGAGGAACGTGGAAAGCTCACCGCCGGTTAAGGGCTGCCAACAAAGATGCGCACCAACCCCCTCTGGCTTGAGAACGGAGAGAGGCTTCTTCACTTGAACATCTCTTTCGCTGTCTCTCATTTTCCCACCACATGCGCAGGCATTTCTTTTTTTCTATAAACAGCGGCAGGCAATTTCTGTCTTAGTACAAACTATACACTGATACATCCCATGCCATAGAGGGCACCTGCTAAGTCAGATATCAGAGGGTGCTCCCCTGCTAAATCAGATGCCGTAGAGTGGAACAGCAAGAATCCACACTGCATGATGCAGTACGCGCAGCCTTTGATGAAATTGCAAAAAACCATAGCAGTGGCATGGTGCAGCTTAAAGGCTCTTGTTGCCTCATGGACACTATTAGCTCGGTTGTCTATGTAGGATGAAAAATAAGTTCAACATACATACATGCATGCATACGTGTCTGTTGAACGGCGAGTGCAGACATTGTGTGGGTTACCCGTGTATGATTTCTGCTTTTCTGGATGTTCCTCTGGCATTTCAATCTGCACTCTAGACCCTATGGGTAACTTTATTATCTACCATTGCATTGCTCAAACTCGCGAGTGTGCATGAGGAGTCCCGCTCTTCATGCGTTATGGAATTTACTGTGAGCTGGACAGCTCCTAAAAATAACAAAGTTCAGCGGATGCATTGGTTGTTTGTCTGGAATATGTTGGGTTTTTTTCCCCATGGTGAATGGCTTGGACAAGATTGACATTTAAGAAGTGAACTCTGCCATGGAATGGGAAGCAATCTTTGGGGAGAGTTTAATTGCGAGCTCATGCATGCGTGTGCATTTGTCAGCATGAGTGGGCATTACAAGACAGTATTATGTACGCTTTCTGCACGCTATCTCCTGCTTTGTTCTGTAAATCTTAACAATTCTCGAAATAATAAGTTACGATCACTCTTTTGTAAATTAGTAATATAACTGAGGAATTGCATTGTTATATTTGATTGACCGTTATGATTCAACACCATGCATTTTCAAAACAACACAATCAGTACGGTTGGCTACGTTGAGTGCGAAATAAGTTCAACATACATACATACAGTATAACATATTCCTTTAATATCAACTCCTTATAATATATAGCTAATGTGATGTTAAAAAAGCTAATTATATAACTTCATGACCACTCAGCAGCCTTGCCATAACTAATTCGATTATTGGGCAGTGTTGGTTCACTTCTGTAGGCTGCAAGACAGTACTGTACATAGTTAAATACACGATTCATCGGAAGCGTCACAAATTATTGGCGCATGTGAAAGCAACTGACGAGTGGTGGACGTAATCATTAGTGAACTGCGCTATGACCCCCCCCCCCTACCCCGTGGCCTGGGTTCGATTCCTGGCCCTGAACGTGGAATTTAAACCTGCCCCGAGTCTCCCGCTCTGTCATTTAAGCCTCAAATGACGAGCTGCTAATGGAGCTTTGTAAACATCAGCAGTGGAGAGACAAAGGTGGCCGGTTGTGGTTCTGACCACAGCACGCCCTTGTCCGTCGTGCTGTCTCTTTGTAAGGTGCTCGCTAGCAGGACGTTTGCAGCTGTGGTCTAGAAGGATAAACACGGATTTTGTTGTCTTCTGTTGCTGCACATTTATGAATTTCTGTCGGGCTTTAGCACAATGTCAAATTACTGAGCCAACAACTCTTGACACCTAGTGACCTCATTAAAATCCAGAAGTAAGTTTTAGGATATAAAGTTTGACTATGTTCAATAATGATGTAATCAAAGTGTAATTTTGTTCCTGTAAAAAATAACTTTGCCTTTATTTTTTATTATAAATAATAACCCAGCATAACCTTTTTTATTTTTTATTTTTCATTTTAGAGATACCTATGCTGAAATAGTCCACTGAAATGCAAACATTTCTTTTGCAGGGATGTCCAGCCCCCATTTACAGAAGAAGACTTAAGTTTATGAGAAATAGCCAGGTAGGGGGTATTTTGTTGAAGTGAGAAAAACAAAGACTTGTAATTTTATTTGCGAACAAAAAACCGAGGCCATCATTCTCTGCTACGGAAGAGCACCGCCGCAGGATTGTTCATATCCATGATATCGAGTAGAGAGAACAAAGCTTCACAGAACTCAGAACACGTCAACATTTCTTACAGTGCAGTATTCTCTTTATTGCCTCATAATTTTGGGCTATTAGCTTAAGGGAAAACAATACTGCCAGTCCACGCACTGGGCAACCAAACACCACTTCAGTGCAAAACAAAAACATTTCCCCCTGATAGCCACGGTCCATCACCAAGGCCCCAACGAAGCTTAACGTCAGCAGTGTTAAATAAATACAACTTCCAAGATCACATTATTGCAGACAAATTATTTGAGGCGATGCTGCTTCGTTAGCAGTGGTGCAACAGGCACAGTTCACAAAAAACAATGTCAACACATTCGGCAATAACGCTTCGTGGCCTTAAAATAAAATAAAAACAGGTGACGTTTCAGAGACGTTTCGGTCACATTTTGGGCAATGGCCCTTTTTCAGAGCACATTCAGTCACGTTATTGCAGACAAATATATTTCAATGTCACTCTGATGTAGTAGTAATATTCCATTCTAGCTTGTGTGTGTTCATTGTGTTTATAGTTTTACTGAAAATTAGCTCCCTTAACAGAGTATGAAACAGCAAGTGTAAAGCGATGCGAGCAAGTTAAAAGGTTTAGCAGGAGAAGTGGTTGAATCAATCGGGATTCTGAAATCAGATCTGATTGTTTTAAGGCTGGTCACAAATTGCTGCTGAAAACAACCAAAATTAATTTCCGTCATTTCAAACGTGCCTTGTCACTTAATTTCGGAAATTTCAGCTGTGAAGTGAATTTTTTTTTTTATTTTAACGCTATGCGACACATTTTTGTGGTGCACATCAGTAGGTGTGCCAACCATTGTTGGTGAAAAGCCTACACACGCGAATTTCGAATTAGTTCTCTGATGTCATTTTCTGGAAGCCCGTTGTACGGCACGTGCAGTTTGACGCATGGAATTCTGAACGTAAAATATCCCTGTCTCATGATAAAACGCACCAACGGGATATGATCAGGGGAGCAGAGAGACGTTTCGCTCGTCACATCGAAATGCAGCGTGCTTGTGCGCACACCGGCTCGGCCGGGCATGCGAAGGAGGATGAAGAAAAATGCTTTTGCGAGGAGCGTAACGTGCGTGCGTGCGCGAGTCCGTGGATTCACGTGTGTGTGTGTGTGTGTCGTCTGCGTGCGCAGGATCGGGGAGTCAAGGACGACGAACTACAAAGCATTCTCAACTACCTGCTCACCATGCACGAGGTGCCATGAGCCCCATGAGCCCTCACCCCCGCTCCGGTCCCTGCCGTCCCTTCTCTGCACCGCACTCGCAGATTTCCACCGTTGCCCACGGAGGGATGTCGACTCCTAATTTTGTGTTCTTTTTTTTTTCTTTGTCTGGACCCCTCAACTTTCTTGTGCCAAAAACAGACAAGCAGAAAGAGCTGCAAGGTTGGTTGCATCTAGCATCAAACAGTATATGTTCGCTCTGATATCTCGAATAACAATGTAAGGGAACGTATTAAGAGACGTGGAGGGAAGCATACGTTTGCGATATGCTATATATGTGTTTGTGTGTGTGCGTGAATAATGTGTACGCACGCACACAGGCACATATATGCAATCCATTCTGGTTTCTAACCATAAACTGTGTTTACCACTACATGTTTTACATGTGTATTCCACTCTAGCCTTTTGCCTGATTGTCAATTTAGCAAGACTAGCAAAATAGTTTTGATTTTGTCCTTTCTTATCACTTTGTGGGAAGTCAACCATGGCTGTCTTTTTTCACAGATTGGCCATAGTCATGTGGAATTTCCACCACTAACTTAGGAGCACTATTAGTCAAGAGCACACCCCCATGCACATTGGAGCAGGAAGATACGACGATGAAAATAATAGCAAAAACGAAAATGCGACGCAACTATGCGTGATAACTTTTTTACATGGCCTCATAGGCAGATCCGTCCGATGAGCCGGTCATGTTCGGAGACGCTATGCAGATCTGCTTCTGAGTTTGCGAGAAAAGTCACGGTTAACTTCTGCCCTTGACTGATGGCACGGATAGAACATTCTGCTCTCTTGGCTTTCAAATGTGTAAATGACGGGGAAAGAACCCATCATAGAAAAATAGCACAAGCCCGAAAAACCGGCTGGCTTTTCAAAGGAAACGCCACGAAAGTTGATTGTCTAAGGCCCGCGGTTATTATTTCACGGAGATTGAAGCATCTCGAAAATGATTGCACTGATATTTGATATGGCATCTCTATCTCGGTGGAAACAAACTGCAAACAGTGTGAATAGCATACATTGTGTAAAAAGTTTTAAGCTACAGATAGCTTTTCTAAGAACTGGGTCAGGTCAGATTAGCCATACATCGGAAGCATTGCCAACCCTAATTCCTGAATCTTTGGTTTTCCTGCACTCCATTCCTCGTGACATAATTTTAAATAAATACGGATTTATTGCTTCGGCAGCTGACCAAGATATGTTGTCGAGGGCATGAAATGTATTGGATTCGAATGTGTGGCATTGAAAAGCTCATAGTACTCTTTTATTGTAACCCTCTGGTGAAAGTAGCAGTAAATTCATCCACCCAGGATAAATGATAAGTTGCCACCGCCCCTGACCACAGTTTGAATTTACAATCTTCCGATTTAGAGCTGAGCTCTCGTAACCACAGAGTTACCCAGCCAAATGAAATTAAATTATATCATAATAACCAAAAAAAAAGAATACAAACTAATAATTAATATAAGAAGGGGGGGCACATTAATTTGTTTGAATGTAGCCTCATGGGTGATCACTTTTGATCCTAGACAGTCACTCCTAAGTTTCATTTATTAGGATTTACCCAGTGAGCCATTCGGCTCTTGATTTGGGTGCAACCGCAACAAACAATATAGTTGTTACACGATACACCTAAAATTAATTGTACACAAATCTAAACATCACGTACATGAACAATAAAATCCTACGGAAAAAGCACCACCCGTCCATGCTGCATACAAAAAGTGCAAACAATTCCATTTCGATGTTTGATCCCAATAACAATCATAATATAATACAGATCAAAATTTCAACTGTAAATCTATACTAAATAAAAAAAATCGGGACAAACCAAGCCCCTCTAAAACTTACTAAAACAATGCTATGTAAACAACATAACAGTTTAACCAACAAATCTTATTAAAAGTTTACAATAGCGACACACACAACACACATCTCTAAAGCTTGCATCCTTCGCTAGCTGCATAAGTCAATCCATAACAGCCAGATTAATAATAGCAGTAGCAGCGTACTTTAATCAAAATACATTATAATTTCATACATCGGTCATCTATAGCTATATATTTTTTTTATTTCAGGCCACAGGACAGCAGTGGCAGCTATGGTTGTACAACGCCTCTAGAGCATTTTGAGTGCATACAATCGTCTCAAATTGTTGTTTGAACGAAGTTTTGGCCAGACTCTATTCTGGGAGTCGTGAGTGACCACAGACTCCCAGTGACCAGTTCGAGCTGTGAACGTTTCCCCGTTAAAGATGCCCAGTCAGCATGGTGGCGAGTTGGCTGATGGGATTTGCATTTCCCACGTGGTGGTGTCTCGGTACCCGTTTGCCACGAGTGCCGGATGTACTCTGCCCAAGGCTTGCACTGCTGCAACAACCTTGACGGGGATTGCTCGTGCGATACGTTTATGTTTAATGCACACATTATAGCCCTCCGATGTGCTTTTGCGTCGTACCGGGTGTTGTCAGTGTGCTGCTTGAAGTTTCATTCTGCGTGCTGGGAGCTTCATTAGGAACTAATTTGGGTGTGTATTCCACTCCTTTATTGAGCATTCGTTATTCAGCGCTTGAAGATGCTTCCAGAACGTGAAGCGAAATGCTATACATCGTTGTAGACGACGCGTAGTATAACCTTAAAGCACATTGAAGAGGTATACAACGCAGCCACAACATCTACGCAGTGTTTACGCAAGATGTATTCACGTATATAAAATATACAGTATATTTACCAAGGGAAGTTTTTTTCTTGGTTTTGACGGCTTCTGCAAAAGCAAAATGAAACTGGAATGCCCTGATGGGAGGCCCCCCCCGCACACATTCTCGAAAAGGTTTCTCAAACTCTGTGCACACCGTGAATATAACACTGGCTTGTTATCCCTCGAATTTTACCTCGCTGGATATACATGCAAAACATGGGCACACACCACCAGTCAGTGTGGACAACTTGAAAGGCAACTTTCCCACAAATTGGCAGCAAGTCAATAAACCATTGGCCTCGGTGGATTTGTGCACTGCTGCTCGGTGCTGGTAAACTGCCAGTCACGTGGCCACAATGACAGGCTCTGTCAGACAATGGGATTGACAGAGTTGTGGCACTCCCATACTGGCATTCTACTGAGCAGTCCGGTGGCACCACGATGACGAGGAGATGTTAACTACCTCGCCCGATATACAGGAGGTAGTGGGTCCGATCCTGACCCTGACGCCTGCTGCTGTATATTTGGATTTTGCATGTTTCTCTCGCCGTGGTCATGTGGATTTTTCTCCAGGTCCTCCGGTTTTTCCTTCCACATTTAGAGTATTTGGCCGCTTAAAATTTCCACGTGATAAGCAACTTTGTTGAGCTATAATTTGTGGCCAGGTAATTTCTAAAAAAAAGATCTATATAGCTCAGTGGGCCTTACCTGGTAAAATTAAAATGTTTAGTTTAACGTTTCAGTTCACTTTAAGAAAGAGGGGTCCTCTGTATGCTCGCTCACAGCACGCAGCAGTCGCATGCATCGGTGTTCATGTATTAACAGGGAGAGATTATTGAATGGGACAGGGATAGAAAATAGGTCTCCTCCATTGTGGGATGAATTTAAAGTGACTAACTGCCTTGTTGAGGTTGTTTATGGTGTAAACAAATATGGCAATGACTGTTATAGCCCTATTATCATCTCCAAGTGTGTGCACTTTCCAATATTAGTGGACATATAAATTTATTTTTCCTTCCTATATCTGCTTGTGGACATAGCCTGAAGCAGCCATATGTGCTTCAGTACTCCACCATGTTTCTCCAGTAATGCCTAAACTGCATAAGATACTTAAAGGTTAATGACTCAGAAAATGGAATGCATCGTTTTTTCCAATGCTCCCATGCCTGGGCCCATGGTATAAAAACAAATACAGACGTTCTGTGTTTTGCAATGTCGACTGTTAAGCCACATGCTGTTGACAAGCGCAATTGTAAGAGTGGCACACGAAATGAGTGGCGATGTGGCCATCCTCTTAGGTAAAGTCACGTAGGTGAAAATAAAATAACAAAAAATCACGACGTTTCGGCCACAACACAAGCGGCCTTCATCAGGTGAAGGGACGAGACTGTCTGGAGGACAGCGCTGGAGTGGAAGAAGCCACGCTTAGATCACGACCTTTAAGCTTAAAAGAAGCCACGCTTAGATCACGACAGCGCTGGAGTGGAAGAAGCCACGCTTAGATCACGACCTTTAAGCTTAAACGAAGCCACGCTTAGATCATGACCTTTAAGCTTAAAGGTCGTGATCTAAGCGTGGCTTCTTCCACTCCAGCGCTGTCCTCCAGACAGTCTCGTCCCTTCACCTGATGAAGGCCGCTTGTGTTATGGCCGAAACGTCGTGATTTTTTGTTATTTTATTTTCACCTACGTGACTTTACCCAATAGAACCAAAGAGTATGGATCCTAGCAGTCACGAAAGCTTTAAATCTAGAATTGATGTGGCCATCGTCACATCTCAGTGCTCACGGCTCACTCTCAACCTGTCTGGGCCTACCTTAGGTTAACTCGGCCTTAAACGTTTAACTTGGGCAGTGTGCATTTAAGAGGTATGGATTGATGGGGTCGTCACAGGATAGGGGTTGATGTTGCAGTCGCAGTATTCACATCACCATCACGAACGTCTTCAGTCATATAACCATCATTGTATGCTTTTGTCTCAAGCATTCTAACGTCTTCGCTACCCTCGCTAGACATTTATGCATGCTGAAATTAAGATAAAATTGGGTACAAAAGGTGTAACTTATTGTTAGTTTAAAAATACATGAGCACCAGAGCTTCTGTAATTATCCAATGCAAAAAAGGTCCGTAATCTTCTTTAACCACAGTGCAGAGGGCCTTTACTCCCCCACAGGCTGCCGAATAATTAGCAGTTGTGTGTCAGTGGGACACTGATGACACAGGCCATTTGGCTCCTTCCTAGCTGTTGACTTGAAACCTGCAGCTGCTTGACACAGTTGCTTATTTAACCCGCTGTTAATGAACGGTGTTCAGGGTGTGTGGAGATACAATTACGCCTTTCTGTTGATATATCCTGCAGGTCTCTACGTCTCAGAGAAGCTGCCATAATTTGTCTAAGACCCGTTGTTGCCTATTTATTGACACCAGCGGGGAGGCTGTCTACATTAAGATGGGACTTTTGATCTC